ATTACCTGACTTACTATTATTCATATTATTATATTACTATTATTATTATTATTAACGTTATTATCACTATTACTATCATAATTATTATCATTATAATTTTATTATTAACGTTATTATCCATTATACTATCATAATCTTATCATTATCATTTTATATTATTATCATATTATCATATTACTATCATTTCTTTTTTCGTGTAATTCAAGGTGATGTCCGGGTCGTGTTTTGCCATCGAGTGCCTTCTGAGTCTGTTCCTCCTCGACCACGCGACACGACAAGACGACCCTCCGACGACCGCTCAGCGCCGTCCCATCCCGAGGCGTCGGAGTGAAAAATCAATCCCCCGCCCATGGCCGGCCCCCCGTCCCCATGTGACTTCGCATGCGACGATCAACACCCCCCCCTAAATCCCCTTCCCCCTTCCCCTCCCCTCGCGCCCCCTCCACCCCCTTCCCGTGCCCCGAAATGGCCAGGGACGCGGCTGCGGCTCCCTCAGTAAGCCCACTATCGCCCGTGGCCAGTTGGTCTCAGGGAATGGCTGACTGGTGGCCGGTATCAAGAGGTTTCCGCCTGACTGGACGCCTCTGCCGAGTGTTGCATCAGCGGCCTCCAGCTTCCAGTCCTCCGCCTCCAAGCCTCCAGGGGCTTCGTCCGGGAGGCTCCTCCAGGGAGCTCGGCCTTGGCGTAAACAAGTCCATCCTTGGGAGTGCGATGTCTCCCACGCATCGAATCTCCCTCGGTCTTTAGCCAATATGGCGTTCATCAAACGCTCTCAAGGACGACAGATAAAACTAAAAATGATACAAATAGATCGAATACTAAAAAAACAATAATAAATAAAACAAAATCTTACACGTCATTATTCTCGAACTAAACAAATCCAACACACAAACACACACACACACACACACCCACACGTACCCAACAACCAGATTCAAGACGTACCCTGCACTCTAACAACCAAGCAAAGCCCGCCTCCCGAAAACCTCAAAACAACACAACACTTACAACACACACACACACACACACACACACACACACACACACACACACACACACACCACACACAAACACAAACACACACACACACACACCAACACGTACCCAAGAACGCGCGGCGAGCGGCCTCTGGGAAATTTATTTGTTCACTTTCCATTCAAATTTGTTACTCGCCGCGACGCTCCCGACTCCTGCTGGGGCCGAGACGCCGAGCTCCCTCCCGCAGAAGTCCAATTTCGGTACTCGGGCGCCCTCCGCGATGCGGTCACACGGGCGCCGTTCGCCTCAAACACAAATATGCGCCGCCTATTGATCCTGCCATTCTTCAAAGGAAATGAGGGAGAGGGAGAGAGAGAGAGAGAGAGGGGGGGGTGAGAAAAAAGGGAGAGGTAAGTGAGGGGGAAGGAGAGAAGTGAGAGGGTGAAGAAGAGTGGGAGGGAGGGAGAGGGTAGGGCGTAAGACGGGAAGGAGAGAGAAGGCAATGCAAGGGAGGGAGGGAGGGAGGAGAGGAGGAGAGGGGAGAGGGAGGAGAGAGAGAGGAGAGAGAGAGAGAGAGAGAGAGAGAGAGAGAGAGAGAGAGAGAGAGAGAGAGAGAGAGAGAGAGAGAGAGAGAAAGAAAGAAAGAAGAAAGAAGAAAGAAAGAAAGAGAAAGAAAGAGAGAAAGAAAGAAAGAAAGAAAGAAGAAGAAAAAAAGAAAGAAAGAAAGAGAGAGAGAGGAATCCAAGACAGAGAGAGCTGCTTAAAGGAAAGAGAACAAGGAATGGAAACAGAGAGAAAGGGAAGGAAGGAAGCAGGGAGGAAAAGAAAGTGAGGTGAAGAAGGGAGGGGAGAAGGACTGATGGATAAGGAGAGATAAAGGAGGAAGGGAAGAGGGGAGGAAGATAAGAAGAAGGGAGGAAAGGAAGGAGAGATGGAGAGAGTGGGAGAGAAGAGGGGAAGGAGATGGAAGAAGGGAGGAATGGAAGGAGAGACGGAGAGAGTGGGAGAGAAGAGGAGAATATAGGAAGAAGGGAGAAATGAAGAGAGTGGGAGAGAAGAGGGGAGGAAGATGGGAAGAAAGAAAATGAAGAAGAGAGAGAGGAGAGGAAGAGGAGAAGAAGGGAGGAAAGAAAGGAGAGATGAAGAGAGTGGGAGAGAGAGAGGGGACTGGGAAGAAGAGGGGAGGGAATGAGAAGAAGAAAAAGAAGAGAGGAAAGAAAGGAAATGAAGAGACTGGGAGAGAAATTTAGAATATAGGGAGAAGGGAGGAATGAAAGAAGACAAGAAAAAAGAGGGAGGGAGCAGGAGAGGCCCCCATCGAAAATCGTCCCCTCATTCGCACCTCTTACTGTCACGTGACCGCAAATCTACCTTCATGTCTTTAACGCAATGAACTACGACAAAGATGCAGCGTAATATTTCTCTCCCTCTCTCCACCCTCGTTCCTCTGTCTGTCTGTCCTGAATCTCCCATTTCTCCCTCCTTTTACTCGTACTCCTTCCTTTACATGTCTCAAATCTCC